CATTCCGAGTTCGGACGGAGAAATTACAGCGAAAATAACAATGTAAACTAACATAACACAAACTATATATAAGATCTGAAAAGTCTAAAAGACCAAAGTTGTAGGTCTCTTCAACAGCTTTTCAATAAATCTTAAATCACCTCATTCCGACTTTAGATGAAGAAATTATAGCAAAAACAACAATGTAAACTAACATTGTGTAGATTAGAGCTAACATGACAGAAGTTAGAACTAACATAGCATAAGTTAGAACTAACATGGCACAAACTGGTCATTTACTATCTGATATCATTCAAATCTGAAAAAGCTTAAAGGACCAAAGTTGTAGGTCTCTTCAACGGCTTTCTAACAAGTCTTAAATCACCTCATTCCGAGTTCGGATAGAGAAATTACAACGAAAATAACAATGTAAATTAACATGGCACAAACTGTATGTAAGATCTAAAAAAGTCTAAAAGATCAAAGTTGTAGGTCTCTTTAACATCTTTCTAACAAATCTTAAATCACCTAATTCCGAATTCAAACAAAGAAATTATAGCGGAAACAATAATGTAAACTAACATGGTGTAGATTAGAACTAACATAACAGAAGTTAGAACTAACATGACATAAGTTAGAACTAACATGACATAAGTTAGAACTAACATGATACAAACTGGTTATTTACTATCTGATTCCATTCGTATCTGAAAAATCTTAAAAGACCAAAGTTGTAGGTCTCTTCAACGACTTTGCAACAAGTCTTAAATCACATCATTCCGAGTTCGGACGGAAAAATTACAGCAAAAATAACAATGTAAACTAACGTGGCACAAACTATATGTAAGATCTGGAAAAGTCTAAAAGACCAAAGTTGTAGGTATCTTTAATAACTTTCCAACAAATCTTAAATTACGCCATTCTGACTTCGAACAGAGAAATTACATCAAAAACAATAATGTAAACTAACATGGTGTGGATTAGAACTAACATAACAAAAGTTAGAACTAACATAGCATAAGTTAGAACTAATATGCCGTTCGAATCTGGAAAAGCTTAAAAGTTCAAAGTTGTAGGTCTCTTCAACGGCTTTCCAACAAGTCTTAAATCACCTCATTACAAGTTCGGACGGAGAAATTACAGCGAAAACAACAATGTAAACTAACATGGCACAAACTGTTTGTAAGATCTGAAAAAGTCTAAAAGGCCAAAGTTATAGGTCTCTTCAACAGCTTTCTAACAAATCTTAAATCACCTCATTCCAACAAGTCTTACATACAGTTTGTGCCATGTTAGTTTACATTATTGTTTCGCTGTAATTTCTCCGTCCGAACTCGAAATAAGGTGATTTAAGACTTATTGGAAAGCCGTTGAAGAGACCTATAACTTTGGTCTTTTGAGCTTTTTTAGATTCAAACGACATCATATAATAAATGATCAGTTTGTGCCATATTAGTTCTAACCTATGCTATGTTAATTCTAACTTATGTCATATTAGTTCTAACTTCAGTTATGTTAGTTCTAATCTACACCATGTTAGTTTACATTGTTGTTTTCACTATAATTTCACTGTTCGAAGTCGGAATGAGGTGATTTAAGATTTGTTGGAAAGCTATTGAAGAGACCTATAACTTTGGTCTTTTAGACTTTTCCAGATCTTACATACAGTTTATGCCATGTTAGTTTATATTGTTATTTTCGCTGTAATTTCTCCGTCCGAACTCAGAATGAGGTGATTTAAGACTTGTTGGAAAGCCGTTGAAGAGACCGACAACTTTGGTCTTTTGAGCCTTTTCAGATTCGAACGGTATCAGATAGTAAATGACCAGTTTGTGCCATGTTAGTTCTAACTTATGTCATGTTAGTTCTAACTTCTGTTATGTTAGTTCTAATCTACAACATGTTAGTTTACATTATTATTTCTGCTGTAATTTCTCCGTCCGAAGTTAGAATGAGATGATTTTAAGATTTGTTAGAAAGTTGTTGAAGAGACCTACAACTTTGTTCTTTTAGACTTTTTCAGATCTTACATACAGTTTGTGTCATGTTAGTTTACATTGTTGTTTTCACTGTAAATTCTCTGTCCGAACTTGGAATGAGGTGATTTATGACTTGTTGGAAATCAGTTGAAGAGACCTATAACTTTGATATTTTGAGCTTTTCCAAATTCGAACGGCATCAGATAGTAAATGACCAGTTTCTTCCATGTTAGTTCTAGCTTATGCCATATTAGCTCTAACTTCTGTTATGTTAGTTCTAATCTACACCATGTTAGTTTACATTATTGTTTTTACTATAATTTTTCGATCTGAAGTTGGAATGAGGTGATTTAAGATTTGTTAGAAAGCTGTTGAAGAGACCTATAACTTTGGTCTTTTAGACTTTTCTAGATCTTACATACAGTTTGTGCCATGTTAGTTTACATTGTTGTTTTCATTGTACTTTCTTCGTCCAAACTTAGAATAAGGTGATTTAAGACTTGTTGGAAAGTCGTTGAAGAGACCTATAACTTTGGTCTTTTGAGCTTTTTCAGATTCGAATGGTATCAGATTGTAAATGACCAGTTTGTGCCATGTTAGCTCTAACTTATGCCATATTAGTTCTAATTTCTGTTATGTTAGTTCTAATCTACACCATGTTGGTTTACATTATTGTTTCCATTGCAATTCCTCTGTCCGAAGTCGGAATGAGGTAATTTAAGATTTATTAGAAAGTTGTTGAAGAGACCTATAACTTTGATCTTTTAGACTTTTCAGATCTTACATACAGTTTATGCCATGTTAGTTTACATTGTTGTTTTCGCTGTAATTTCTCCGTCCGAACTTAGAATGAGTTGATTTAAGACTTGTTGGAAAGCCGTTGAAGAGACCTACAAGTTTGGTATTTTGAGCTTTTTCAGATTCGAACGGCATCGGATAGTAAATGACCAGTTTGTGCCATGTTAGTTCTAGCTTATGCCATATTAGCTCTAACTTCTGTTATGTTAGTTCTAATCTACACCATGTTAGTTTACATTATTGTTTATGCTATAATTTTTTGGTCTGAAGTTAGATTGAGGTGATTTAAGATTTGTTGGAAAGCTGTTGAAGAGACCTATAACTTTGGTCTTTTAGACTTTTCTAGATCTTACATACAGTTTGTGCCATGTTAGTTTATATTATTGTTTTCGCTGTACTTTCTTCGTCCAAACATAGAATGAGGTGATTTAAGATTTGTTGAAAAGCCGTTGAAGAGACCTACAACTTTAGTCTTTTGAGCTTTTTCAGATTCGAATGGTATCAGATTGTAAATGACCAGCTTGTCCATGTTAGTTCTAACTTATACTATGTTAGTTCTAATTTCTGTTATGTTAGTTCTAATCTATACCATGTTGGTTTACATTATTATTTTCGTTGTAATTTCTCTGTCCGAAGTCAGAATGAGGTGATTTAAGATTTGTTAGAAAACTATTGTAGAGACCTACAACTTTGATCTTTTAGATTTTTTCAGATCTTACATACAGTTTATGTTATGTTAGTTTACATTATTATTTTCGCTGTAATTTCTCCGTGTGAACTCGGAATGAGGTGATTTAAGACTTGTTGGAAAGCCGTTAAAGAGACCTACAAGTTTAGTCTTTTGAGCTTTTCCAAATTCGAACAGCATCAGATAGTAAATGACCAGTTTGTGCCATATTAGTTCTAACTTATACCATGTTAGTTCTAACTTATACCATGTTAGTTCTAGCCTGTCACATAGTAGTTCTAGCTAGTTTTAGTCTAAATCATCTTAGTTTTAGGCTTTTGGGTTCTCAAGTTAGTTCTAACTTACCCTATGTTAGTTCTAACCCGTCCCATGTTAGTTCTAGCCCACCCCATGTTAGTTCTAGCTAGTTCTAGTTCTAATTCATCTTAGTTTTAGGCTCTTGGGAACTGAGAAAAGCTCCTCCCACCTCCAGCGAAGCCTACCGAGACACCCCGACGATCCCAGCAACCTCCCCCACCTCCGGCAAGCCCAGATAGCGGCGAAAAGCTCCAAGCAGTGAATAAGAACCCGAACGGTGAGAAATTACACTGTAGAAAGCTGTAGTTTTGTGCCGACTTCGTACGCACTTTCCGATCACCTCCAATCTTTGTTTCTACCGATTTTTTCTTTGGTGAGTAGCCCTACATGTTGTCTATCACCTCTAATTTGTATCGTTCTCTAACTTATTCTTCATCTCTCTCGGTAACGTCTGAAACATTGCTCGACGGTAGCAGCGAGCAGAAAACAGCAGCGCCATGTCAACTTCGCGCGCATTTTTTTGCCACCTCTGGTCTCTGTTTTCACCACCGTCTTTGCCGATATGTAGCCCTTTATATTATCTATCACACTGTATCTTTCTTTCACTTGGGCTCATTTTCTACCTCTCGTTATATCGCTTCGATTATTACGAATCGTTCCTTCATCATCTTAACCTCTGAGAGAAGTACAACAACGAATCGATTAAAAGTTGAGCTCCATCGGTCGTGGATGTAGTGACAACGTGTTTTGCCATGGTGTGTGTGCTCCTGTAGTTGTATTTGATTGGTTTAGTTTGTAAATTGTGTTCATAATTGTACTGTACACGTGCAACGCAATAGTTTCTACGGCGGGGGGGGGGGGGAAGGCGGCGACAGCGAGGAGGGCGAGGGCCAGGATGACGAGCTTGAGAAAGCTCGTAGTTTTGGAGAGAGAGAGAGAGAGAGAGAGAGAGAGAGAGAGAGAGAGAGAGAGAAGATGAGTGTTGGGTCTGAGTGATTGAGGAGAGAGGATAAGGATAATTTGGGGATTTTAGCTTAGCTTGCATGTAATAATTGCTAAAAAGGAGCTGCAGTACAAAGTGTCACACTTCAAGAGGCTGATCCACATGGGGGAAACTATGAGGGGCCTCGTCACATGAACTTTCTGCTTTTGGGACCTGTGCACATTTTTCCCTAACTTTTATATACAAGTCATTGGACGAGATAAATTAAAAGAGGATGAGACACCAAACATGGCGTCCTTTATATATAACACACCGGTATACATAGATAAATAAGATACATAACATACTTATTTCTAGTATAGTAAAGACACTAGTAGTACCAGTAGGTTCTGAAACACAAGACGACTCATTTTAGCATAGCACATACAGTACACAAGTAAGTTCAAAGCCTCCACGATTTATTCGGGGAACGCTTCGATGATGGACCAGATCGCGGGAACAATAATGAAGTTAATACGAGGAAAGCCCGCGGACTTCAACAGCTTCCTCCACTCTTCCTCGGTCCTCTCTTTACCGGCGGAAGTGTAGGCGTACATCAACATATCAAATTTAGCACGGATATCTCCCCACGGGCTGTCGTCGTCCGCTCGCAACACCACGTCGACGATTATAACCTTTCCCGTCTTCGGTACGACACTCCTGCAGTTCTTCAGGACCTTTGCGCACTCATCATCGCCGAAGCAGTGCATCACGGTCTTCGCAGAAGGAAATCGAAAATGAGATCGATTGGGATTTTCATTAGTAGAAATTAAGACGACTCATTTTAGAAAACAATCATATATTGTCACAAAAACATAATATCGATGGTTAACTCACTTTAACCATTGTATAAATTTTTTGTGTTTGGCGGGTTAAAATAGGGTTAAGTCTCATTAACCCCTTACTTAACCCTTTACCCAACGGTAGCTAAAGTAAATTAGTCTTCCACGTATTTTACCTTCATGAAGACAGCCTCAGCCTCGGGGATAAACTCGAACATATCCCCAGCGACGTGAGTGACCCCCGGGTACTCCGGCGCAGTCTCCACCACAAACGGCAGATCAAAATTGATCCCCCTCATCCCCGGGTTCACCCGCCGGACAATCTCCGCCACCGTGGCCCCCGTCCCTCTCCAACATCGACCACCGACCCCAACCCTTTAAACCCCTCGCCCGTACGACCTCCACCACAGCGTCCAGCGTCCCTTCGCCCGTGCAAGCCATGGCCCCGCTAAACACCGTTGAACTCCGCATCCGCCGCTGCGGTCCGAGCAGGAGTCACGCCATAGCGGCCACGTACGGGGGTAGCGCCGGACGGATGCTGGGGCGAGCTTTGCCAACGCGCGAGGGGCGGAGGGGTGAGTCTCGAACATAACCATGGGGGCGAGGTTGCGGTCGAGAGCGGAGGAGGCGGGAGGAGGCCGGGTGAGGAGTAGTGTGGCTCTCCGGATAATTCGACGGAGGAGAAGATGCGGTTGCGGGTGAGGAAGCGCATGAGCGCGAGAAGGGCGGAGGGTCGGGGGGAGGAGGAGGGAGGAGAGGCGGAGAGAGAGAGAGGAGGCCGGCCTCGTTCGCGTGGGCGCGGATGATGTCGGGAATGTGGAGCTCCACGGCGCAGCGAAGGACCATGGAGTCGGTGAAGGAGAGCATGATTTCCACGCGTGAGTCTGCCTTCGGCGCGCTGCCGAGCAGCGTTGGTCCTGCATTACTTCCTCAACCATTGTGAGTGACGTGGGATGGTGGTTGCGTACTGCCTCACAGCTTAAATGAGGGAAATAACACTACCGACACACTCCCCACCATACTCTCACCACATCCCTCTCTGCCTACAGTACAGAGGGGCACCTGGGATTTTTTTTTAAAATCCTAGGTGGCCCCCTGCACTGTAGCAGGAGAGGGTGTGAAGAGTTGCCGTGGGCGATGCAAGTGCCTGTAATTGCACTCTAATGAGGCGGCTTGCTTCTTTTTTCTTTTTCTTTTTTTTCTTTTTTTTTTTTGAAAACGAGAGGGTAATTAAGAGGGCGGGGGATTTGTAGAAGGAAATGTACGGTGGTGTTAGGTTACAGATTTTGACCGTTGTTCGGGAGGGTCATGGCACGGTTGTTGGGACGTGGAGAGATGTGGAGAATTAAGGTGGGAAAGAAGCATGCGTGGCATATATATACACGTTACATTTTTGGGACTCAATCCATGCAGGCTGACAGTATTAGTCAACAAGCCCATGCTAATGAGACTCAATCCATGCAGAACATGAAAGTGAAGAGAATACAGGAAAATTGACAGAAAACAGCTTTGGACTTCCAGCGGTCGACCGTGAGTGGCGTGACGGTCGATCGCAAACATGCATGCAAGCTAGAAAAGTCTCTGAACTTTTTGCGGTCGACCGCGAGTGGCGCGGAGGTCGACCATCCAAATCCTGTAATGAAAATTAGTTTCTGTCGTTGGATCCGGTCGACCGCACGTGGCTCTACGGTGAACCGCGAGTCGGGTTTGGCGTGTCAATATTAGTCAACGAGCCCATGCTATTGATGAAGATGAAAGGGCACAAGGGGATTATTGGCTGGGGGGGTGGGGCGATTCTGATGTTAGTATATACTCTAACTTTGAAGTGAAGAAAGTGATGACGAATGAAATTAGAAAGATGATGATGGCAGTGATGTTGGGGATTCGAAATAATCAAATCAAATTCGTACTCTTCCGGATCTTGTGTTTGAGAGTTGAGGAAGAAAGAAATTCATCACAAATCAAAGATAAAAACTTGTAGGAATGTAAACAAGAAAGAACTCACCAGATTTAACGAGGTTCGGCAACGTGCCTACGTCCTCGGGAGTCACACCACACAATTCTTTGATTAATTGAAGAAGATTACAATGCTTGTAATTGTCCTCTCTCTCCGATCTCTGAGATTCTGATCTCAAAGAGCCCTCAAAACCCTCTTTTTCGTGTTCTTTTTTTTCTCCTAAACCATAGAGGGACGTATTTCTATTTATAAAAAAACACAATCGCAAACAAATTAGGATTCTAAAACGAGTCTGCCACACCCTGGTGTGGCACACACCACACTCATGACAAACAGGGTAGATTCTGCCACACCCTGCCACATGGGTGTGGCAGACACCACATCACGGTGTGGTGTAGTCTGTCTTGCTTATTTTTTACGTATTTGTTGATTTTGATTCTAGGTTTGGATCTCCACTCTCAAGGCCAACAATCTCCCACTTGGAGACTAAACCACCATCAATGAGTTCGCGCGAACTCCGCCTTCTTCGCAAGCATCTTCTCCTACTTGGAAAAATTCATTCTTCAATCATCATCAACCCGACGATCCCGATGATCCTCCTAGTATGGCTCCGCCTTCATCTCTTACGCATGAAGACCAACTGAAGTTATGTACAACTCCAGTTTATCAATGGTTACTGTTTTCGTCAACATAGCAGGATTTTGGCTCCCTAAAATCTTCTCTAAATGTAACTTTTTGTCCTGGATCAACGAGCATATGAAATAGTATCGTGCATCGATGTGCTTCATTCTGGCATGATAAACTAGATCCTTTGCAAGGTGTATAACGCTCTGGCTATCACAATAAAGAACTCCTCTCCCTTGATTCAGATCCAACTCTTCCAAATATCCAGCCAACCAAATCATCTCCTTACTTGCTTCAGTCACCGCGACATACTCAGTCTCGGTTGTAGATAAAGTTACAAACTTCTACAGATGTGAGACTTAGCTCACTGTTGTCGACGCTAAAGTATAAACATACCCTGTGGTGCTCCGTCTCGTATCATGATCACTGGCGAAGTCCGCATCCATGTATCCCTGCAGCACCAACTCTTTCCTCCTGAAACATAGTGGCTTGTTCGTTTTCCCTCTCAGGTATCGCAATATCCACTTCACGGTCTCTTAATGTGCTTCCCTGAATTGCTTGCAAACCTGGTCACAACTCCCACTGCATGGGTAATGTCCGATCTCGTACAAACCATCGCGTACATAAGACTCCCAATGGCCGAAGAATATGGCACCCTACTCATATGCTCTCTTTTTGCATCTGTCTTAGGCGATTGCTCCTCAGATAACTTGAAATGGCTTCCAATGGGTGTGCTAACAACCTTAACATTCTGTATATTGAACCTCTGAAGTACTTTCTCGATATATTCAGCTTGGCTCACTTTCTCGATATATTCAGCTTGGCTCAACCTCAATTTCCCTTCAGCTTCATCCCTACTGATTCGTATCCCTAGAATCTGCTTCGCTGCATCCAGATCCTTCATTGTAAACTCCTTTGCTAGCCGCTTCTTCAAACTATCTCCTCTAAACACGGACCTACTACTAACATGTCATCAATATATAATAACAATATAATAAAGCTAGACTCAAACCTCTTGAAATAGCAGCAATTATCCGAATTGCATCTTCCATAACCATTATTCTGCATGAATTTATCAAACTTCTTGTACCACTGTCTCGGAGCATGTTTCAAATAATATAAACTCTTCTTGAGCTTGCACACCATCTCTTTATTTCCTTCTTTAATGAAGCCAACAAGCTGCTTCATTAAGATTTCGTCATCCAAGTCACTATGAAGAAAGACAGTCTTCACATCTAACTGCTCAAGGAAGAGGTATTCGGCAACTACCAAGCTCAACACCACTCTAATGGTTGTGAGCTTTACAACAGGGAAAAATATCTCTGTATAGTCCACTCCTTCCCGTTGTTGGAACCCCTTTACAACAAATTTGGCCTTATACCTTTTGCTTCCATCACTCTCTTGCTTGACTCGGTAGACCCATTTATTAAGTAAGGCTTTCTTTTGTATAGGTAGCTGGGTTAACTCTCATGTCTCGTTAGTAAGTAAATAATCCATCTCCTCTTGTATCGCATGCTCCCACTGCTGAGATTCACTCACTTTCATAGCTTCCTCATAGCACTCCAGTTCACCGCTATCGGTCAGCAATAAGTAATCAAAAGATGAAAAATATCTAGGATTAATTGCTTCTAAGCTCGACGCCCTGGGTAGTTGTTTCTGCACTTGGAGCCTCCTCCGTTCTTCGATCAGAACAAACATCATCACCCCTATCTGGAAGTTCCTCTAAATTTAGCTCGGATCCACCTGCATCCGAAGTGTTGCTCCCACTGCTTTGGATATTCTTGCCAATTTCTCTGTTCTTGTACATCACCTCCTCATTAAATATGATGTTTCGGCTCCTGATGATCTTCCTGTTCTTCTCATCCTAAAGACGATACCCGAACTCATCAATACTGTATCCAATAAATGTACACTTTTGTGACTTAGCTTCTAGCGTGTCCCTGACATGGTCACTGATGTGAACATAAGCCACGCAGCCAAATACGCGTAAGTGTGAGAAATTGACCTTCTTACCACTCCAAACCTCCTCTGGAATCTCAAAATCCAATGGAACTAATAGCCCATAATTAATAAGGTAAGTCTTCATATGCACCGCATCCGGCCAAAATATTTTAGGCAGATCTGCATGTAATCGCATGTTCCTGACACGCTCTGTCAAGGTTCTGTTCATCCTCTCCGCAATGTCATTCTGTTGCGACGTCCCTGGAGTAGTCCTCTCTAAGCGAATACCATTCATAACACAGAACCTCTTGAACTCCTCCAACTCGTATTCTCCGCCATTTTCTGATCTCAGACATTTCACCTTCAGATCTGTCTCGTTCTTCACCATGGCCTTCCACTTCTTGAAGACTCCGAACACCTCTGACTTGTGCTTCATGAAGTAAACCCACACCTTCCTCGAATGATCGTCGAGAAAGGTAACATAGTATCTCGAATCGCCAAAAGAAGACACATTGGCCGGACCTTATACATCTGTATGAATCAACTCTAACTTCTGAGCATTAGGTGGCCTTCCACCCTTCTAGAAACTAATCCTCTTCTGCTTCCCAAAAATACAGTCTTCACAAACTCCAACTTTCACGAAATCGATTCCGGTTAGCTTTTCTTGTGAATGTAGAATTTTTATTCCCTTCTCGTTCATGTGTCCCAACCTATTGTACAACAGATCCGTACTCTCTTTGCCAGTTGTAATTATGAGGGTGTCACTCGCATGTGAGGTGAAGAGGTATTCGGCAACTACCAAGCTCAACACCAC